AGCACTCTAGGAACAACAATGATAGGCATTTTCAAATGTTCTTTTGGGAACTTTATTTATACAGTTGTCAATAGAAGGCATTATTTTTTCAATCTAGAAAAAACTGAAACCTTTAAAATAAATTTTGTTTAGTTCGCTATAGAGGAATTGATAATTAGTTAAGTCAAAGTTTTTATTTATCGCTTCCTATTCAACGAAAAACGTGACTAACTTAAAAAATTACAAATCTTGTATTTCCTACTTTTCTACTGGAAATCGAGCTATTGTTTATATAAAAATGTTTGTAGAATAGAATAGAATAGAAACATTTTATTGGCTTAATATACTTGGAGTCTAGCCCATTTAGTGTTAGTAGGGATTAGTTTTATAAGTAGAAGAAAACAAGTCAAACCAGAAAACAAGCAAGAAAACAAGCCACTTACGGATCAGAAGTCTGGACACTGACAAAAAAGATGGAAAATAAGCTGCTTTCCATGGAAATGAATTTCTGGAGAAGAAGCTGTGGCATATCCAGAATCGAGCGGATCCCAAACGCAGCTATTAGAGACAAGGTCGGATGTCAAAAGAACATCCTTCACCTGATCGGGACCAAACGGTTAAAGTGGTATGGCCACTTAATGCGGATGGATGAGAACCGCTGGCCAAAGAAAATGTATATCTATAACTATATGCCACCTGAAAGAAGGAAGCGTGGAAGGCCAAAGAAGAAATGGACAGAGGACGTGGAAGAAACTATGGCAGCCAGAGGGCTTCGTGAGGGAGATTGGATGGACAGGGAGCAGTGGCTTTTGGGTGTTGGGGATATGACTCCTTAAGTTGTGCGAAACCCAAATAAAAAAAAAAAAACAAGTAAATAAGTACAGTATAAGAAAACAAAAATATTTGTGTATAACAAACATCATAAATATTTTTACTATATATATATATATATATATATATATATATATATATATATATATATATATATATATATCTTTATATAGTAAATATCATAAATGAATAAAAATACATATATACTAAATAAAATTTACTATGCAGAACACAACAAAGCAAAACAAATAGCAGAGATCTTAGGATTACAACGCACATGTTGAATCGTACAATTAATAAAAATAATATTTAAATGGCACCAAAATTGTGAATAAATACACGTAGGCCCAAAATGTAAATTAATAAAATAAATACACGTATATAAAAATGTTTGTAGAATAGAATAGAATAGAAACATTTTATTGGCTTAATATACATCGTAGCCTTGGAGTCTGGCCCATTTAGTGTTAGTCTAATCCCTACTAACACTAAATGGGCCAGACTCCAAGGCTACGATGTATATTAAGCCAATAAAATGTTTCTATTCCATTCTATTCTACAAACATTTTTATATACGTGTATTTATTTTATTAATTTACATTTTATAAGTAGAAGAAAATAAGTAAATAAGTACAGTTTTTTCACGAAATATTTCAAAGAAAACAAAAATATTTGTGTATAACAAACATCATAAATATTTTTATACTCCAAATATTTTTACAATTTATATATATGTATATAAATAACTTTATATAGTTTTTTTTTTATATTTGTTTATTTAGAAATATTACATTCTGTCACATCAAGGACAATTATAATAGTGATCAGTGAAAGCACACTCACACTCTATTTACAATAAAAAAAAAAATAAATAATACAGAAACTTAATAATAATAAATACAAAAAAATAAAATAAAAATAAATACAATAAAATAAAATAAATAAATACAATAAAATAAAATAATAAATACAATAAAATAAAATATACAATAAAATAAAATAATACAATAAAATAAAATAATGCAATAAAATAAAATAATACCTTTTTTTTATTATTGTATTATTTTATACAATAAAAAAAAAGTATTATTTTATTTTATTGTATTATTTTATTTTATTGTATATTTTAATACTGTATATATTGTAATTTATATTGTATATTTTTAATGAATAAAAATACAGATATACTAAATAAAATTTACTAAGCAGAACACAACAAAGCAAAACAAATAGTAGAGATCTTAGGATTACAACGCACATGTTGAATCGCACAATTAATAAAAATAATATTTAAAAGGCACCCAAATTGTGAATAAATACACGTAGGCCCAAAATGTAAATTAATAAAACAAATACACGTATATAAAAATGTTTGTATATCTTAATAATTTAAAATTTAATGTTATATTTTTTCTATTTTTGTTTCAGCTGTGCAGCGGGGCCGAGTGCCGCCCAGCCAGCCGACCGCCCTGCCCGGGCAGTTCGCGCTCACCAACGGCGAGGCAGTGACCGCCGCTGCCGCAGCAGCCGCCGCGGCCGCCGGCTTCAACGGCCACAGCTACCTTAGCTCGTACATCAGCCTCCTCCTCCGAGCGGAGCCCTACCCGACGTCCAGGTACGGGCAGTGCGTCCAGCCCAACAACATCATGGGCATAGACAACATCTGCGAGCTGGCCGCGCGACTGCTCTTCTCCGCCGTCGAGTGGGCTCGCAACATACCTTTCTTTCCCGAGCTTCAGGTGAGTAATTATATCGACAAATCCAACAACAATAAAAGGAGTCGAGTTCCTCTGTGAGGATGGTTTCAGGATTGTAATTCTTAATACCCCTAAAGGCTTAGGATTCTATTGACCGCCAGAAACTGTATAATATTCTAATCGAGCAGGGGATTCCAAAAAAAACTAGTAAATCTAGTCAGGATGTGCTTGACGGAGACACTCAATAAAGTTAGAATCGGTAATAATTTGTCCGAAAAATTTGAGGTTCGTTCGGGCTTAAAACAGGGCGATTCTCTTTCGCCTGTCCTGTTCAATTTGGCATTAGAACATGCCATTAGGGAGGTAATGCGAACCGAGAAAGGGTTGGATCTGGGCGGGACAACATCCGTGCTGGGCTATGCTGATGATCTGGTACTGTTAAGCGAAGACGTTGAAATTATAAAACTAAATACGACAACGTTAATGAAAGCCGGGAAAGAACTAGGACTCGAAATGAACGTGGATAAAACAAAATATATGGTTAGCTGCAAAAATGGCGATACTACTGGTGACATCGATATAGATGGTAATGTGTTTGAACAGGTAGATAAATTTAGGTATCTAGGTTCTACGATAACTAGAAAAAACGAAATTGAAGAAGAGATTAAGGTTAGACTGAAGGCGGGGAATGCTTGTTATTTTTCTGTGACAAAACTACTCAGTTCGCGCCTCTTGTCCCGAAACTTAAAAATTAGAATCTATAAAACAATTATCTTGCCTACAGTTCTTTATGGATGCGAAACTTGGCCGCTTACATTAAGGGATGAGCAGCGTCTTAAGGTTTTTGAAAATAAAGTATTGCGTAGAATATTCGGACCGAAGAAGGATGAGTTAACCGGAGAGTTCAGACGGTTACACACACATCATGTATCACACAGACGGTTACAGACACAACACCGAATTGCGTGAGCTGTATCCGGGTAATATAATTGAGGTAATTTCATCGCGGCGAATCAAATGGGCTTGTAAAGTTGTTGGGCTTAGTAACGAGAGAATTCCTAAAAGGTTAATATTTGCTGTGCCGAATGGTAAGCGTCCGAGGGGTAGACCGAAGCGAAGGTGGGAAGATTGCATTAAAGCCGATCTGAAGGGACTGGGTTTGGAGGGCGAACGGTGGAGGGAGGTGTGTAACAAGCAATTGGTGGTGTCGGCATCGAACCTTCGGGTTCGCTAAGCCTTATTATTATTATTATTATCATAATTCTTAATACCCCTAAACAATTTTCTACAAATAAATATTACCGGACAAATTTTAAATATTTTCAAGGATATATTAACACTCTATATTTTGGATTATTATTTTCAATAATCAACCATTGTGATCGACCAAAAAATTCAAAAACTTAACCCTCTCCCAAAATTTGAGGTTTCACCTTTCAGGATCCGTAGGATTCGAAAAACGAATAACAATTTTTTGGTCCGTCCGCGCATTTTCTCCGAAACTACTGGACCGATTTTTTTTCTAATTTGGATATAAAATCAGAGGTCACACGAGGATGATCCTCCTTCAACGGCATTATTATCCGCCACTTACTTTCAAAATGGCGGCCGAAAAACCTGTTTTGCTATAGACTGTATCGCCTGCAACGAATGCAGCGGTTTCAATGAAACTTCGCTAAAATCATTTTCTCTACGCCCTTTAAATCTATTTAAATCTGTTTATCTATATAACATACTTCAACGAAAAGAAGCTGGAAAAAAGGGATGTTAAACTTAAATTTCGAATAACTCAAAAATTTTAAAAATTTTTGTAAATATTCTAATAAGATGTTTCAAAGGTATTTGAATTTTTTTAAAAAATAAAGGAAGTTTCATCGAAATCAAAGCACTATTAGTAGAGATATAGCGATTTTTAAATATTTTTGATTTATTATTTTGAATAATCAACTATTGTGATCGACTGAAAAATTCAAAAACTTAAACCCCTCCCAAATTCTTTTTTTTTTTTTTTCTTTCGCTTGGACAACCCTAGCAACTCAATATAACTTAGCTCTCCAAACAAAGAGATTGCTAAGATCTGTAAAAGTACATCCTACGATATGCGTGGATATGTTTTCCAGACGTAATATCTAATGAGTACAGAAGAAAGATCGAGCAATGAAGATGCTTCTGCAAGAAGTCGAATTCGGTAATGATTCTAAAACAAGGCAGAGATTGTCCTTTTACGAGGTATTTTGAAATCCTGCTGCTTTCTTCTAGATGCCCATTCCATCGTTTTCCTTTAGTGAAATCCGAGTGGAAATCAATGCAGAGAAAAGCATGATTCCAGGAAATCTTCTAACCGAATCACTGGTACTGAAAGCCAATGAAAATTGTCACATCAACTATTTTCAAATCCTGAAATCTACCTCTATCGATTTACACTAAACCTTAGATTCATAATTATTATTTTCACTTCGATAAGAAGAATATAATAACAGAAAACTAACCAATAAGAAGTATCATAAGAACTCTCCAGATATCGAGGTAAGCTACCATTTAAGTAATGGCCACATCCTCGACTCCTTTGCTAAAATATCTTATGGCATTGCAGATGACGGACCAAGTGGCACTGCTGCGACTGGTCTGGTCTGAACTGTTCGTCCTCAACGCCTCCCAGTGTTCGATGCCGCTGCATGTCGCGCCACTTCTTGCGGCAGCTGGTCTGCACGCCTCACCCATGGCTGCGGACAGGGTGGTAGCCTTCATGGACCACATCCGGATCTTCCAGGAGCAGGTGGAGAAGCTGAAGGCCCTTCATGTGGATTCTGCGGAGTACTCCTGTCTCAAGGCGATCGTTCTCTTCACAACAGGTAAGAGAGTTTTGATATATATATTTATATATTTTGTGGTACTTATAGTCCGGTAATGGAAAAATTATAAAATAACAATAATTTATTTATTCGGGGACTAGTCCCTTTAGAATAATACAGGAAGACATAAATATGGGCTAAGGAGCCTTAGAGATACATAAATAAAAATAAAGAGTAATTAAACAGTAATAGTAAAAAAATGAAAATTATAAGTTACTTTCTAATTTTAATCAGTTAATAATAAAAAAATAAAAAATTGCAAAAAAGGATTAAGTAAAAATAATGAAGAACGAACTAATAATTTATATACATATTTACATTAGTATCTATTTACAATTTCATGGGGATTGATTGAACAGGCGGTATTTAAAGGTAGGAAGGGTATTAGTTTGATGAATGTGAGAAGGGATGGAGTTCCAAAGGGATGAGGATCGGATAATGAACGATCTGTCGAAAGGAGTTCGGTGAGCCCTTATGTATAAATCAGAAGACCGAGAATGAGTATTGGGGGAACGAACAGAGGATTTGAATTGAAGGAGCTCGGAGATGTATGAAGGACGGTGGGATTGGATGACTCGAAAGAGGAAGGATGCCAGGTAATACTTACAGCGGTAGGAAGGATAAAGCCACTTCAAATCTGCATAAAAATGGGAAACAGACGCGTCCCTTGTTATCCCGAAGATGAATTGTACAAAGCAATTTATCAAACGTTTTAGTTTGATCATTTTTTTATCATGGTTTGATCTATATATATATATATATATATATATTTGAAGTTATATATATATATATATATATATATATATATATATATATATATATTTTAAATAAAAAGATGTCCCTATGGTATTCCCCACTGGTGGATCCACAGGGGAACTTTGGCATAAAGTCTCTCCGTACCAAAATGTAAACCTTTTTTTTCATTGGTCCAATTTTTTTTATGCAATTCGACAAAAATAATTAAACGACCAAAATATGTATTCTTTTCAAATTATAAAACTAGTATTTCAGCTAACAAATGTAAGCACATTTCAAGAAAAAAATATTAAAAATGTATCCAAAAAGGCATCATTGTTCTTATAAACAAAGTATTTTAAAAATACATTTATTTAATTTATTTTTTGACAGGCCTCCAAAGAACACAACCTAAATCAAATTAATGATCAGTTACTGTACCTCCCTTAAAATTATAAATGATGGTTTTAAGATGATGTAGTCCAGCAAGCTATCATACAAAGTAGTAAGCTAAAGATACATTCATGTCTCGAAGACTCATTTGTCAACCGAAAAATCATTGTCTTAAAAAAATATAGGTGATAAATATTCAGGACGCAGTCATTATAATTATTTAGTAGTGCCGACGTTTCAACCCAAACATGTGGTTCCTCATCAGGGCGTGTTTCGAGCACTGCTGCACTAACCCTAGCGTACTTAAACACCATCAGTACTGATGATGACCCAAATGTTTGGGTCATAACATAATTTTAATGACCTAGCTTAACAATTGTACTAATTTATTTTCATTTTTACTTAAGAAACAGATAAATAGACTTAAGCATCGGTAGCGAGAAATTTCCCTTATTATTTTTCAGATTATGTATAAGCGACATAATTTTATCTGACTCTCGCATATTTTAAGTAGCTATTGAAAGCATTCCGTGGTTTTTTGCGGAGCATAGATTAGAAATTAGAATTTTAATAGGATCCCGTTAGTGGCGTACGTTCGCTTCGCAACCGATGGCATTTAAGAAGACTGCCATGTGTTTTCTTCATGTGGACATTAATTCAATTTTATCAGATAAATTTTAGTAATGCTTCGCACTTATGCAAATTTTCCTCAACGTGTTTCTAGTATTTCAGGTGTTACCATGCAAGTTATCTTTTATGATTCTATGTTATGTAAGTAAGTTTATTCACTCGAGTCGATTCAAGCTTTTATTTTATGAAATGAAATGAAAAAACCTTTATTATTCTGGGACTAGTGTTCCTTTAGAACGAATTATAAAAGCAGAATATAAATAAACATGTCAGTATATTCATAAATATTATATTGAAATTAAAAAATCTTGTGGATATAAGTAACTCCTATTTTCATTTATGTATGTTTTTACTAGTTAGTTGAAATTATTATTCTAGTTATTTCATAATTAAAATATTCTAGTATGAAATCAAAAGGTGAATAAAACTAGTTTCGAATAAAATAAAAAATACATTGCAAGAGTAGACCCAACGGTGTCTAGAAGTTTTATGTCGCAAGTTACGTCACCAGGGAACTAGAAAAAAACGTGGAATAGACCATACCAAGTGTAGTTGTATATGGACAAAAACAAAAAAAGAAAAAAAAAATATGGCGAGAGATTTTATTATGTGTAAAATTTCAAGATAATTATTGTGAAGTGACTAAATATAATATTGAATATTAAAAATTAATTTGTTAGTATGATTGTATAGTAACAAAGATTTTATTTATTATTTTACTTGCTATATATACTTGAAAATATCTTTAAAAAAATACGATTGAATAGGGAAGAGGGGATACAGCCAATATAACATTGGTACATTGCTAGAACTTTTTTTAAACTCAAAATAAATAATGTAAAAATTGTGCACAACCTCAAATAAAAATACAATGATTTTCACAGCACAACTACTTTGCCGCGGAAAATGTGATAAAAATATCACGTGAAAATTGAGTAATGTAAAAATTGTGCACAACCTCAAATAAAAATACAATGATTTTCACAGCCCAACTAGTTTGCCGCGGAAAATGTGATAAAAATATCACGTGAAAATTGAGGGGTATTGGAATCATAAAATCCTAGGATATGTTGATATATATTATTATCTTTAAATATAAATAGAAATTTAAATCAAATTAAAATTTAAGTATCAATAAAATAGTTGCATAGCTATTACTATGCTCTATGTTGCCAGCTAGTCAACTTTTATTAATCGATTTTACTCATTGATGTAGCTTATTTATTATTGATTTTAATTTGTTTTATCTCCAATTTTTGTGGGGGGTATGGAAGAAACGATATTCTTGCCCCCTCAACATTTTTATTTGTGGGCGATCGACTTTATGAGGTTATAAGAAGTTGAGTATGCTTCTAAGCTCAGCCCTAAGCTATTCGGTGGAATCGGGTCGTATTTTAAACTGGGACAAAACGTTTTTAAGTTCGCAACTTGTGTTTGATAAAATTGTTTTTAATTTTTAGCTAAAATGAAACTATTTATTCGTTTTTTAACATTTTGTCTGTGGTAATTTTTTAACTGAATTTCAAAATATTTTATATAAAATATTGTTTTATTAAAACCATCTCCAAAACATACCTATATTACTTATAAAAAATATAAATGTTGAGATTTTTTTAAAATACTACCTTGTGCTTTGAAGTTGATTTTGGTATAAATGCTGCTCAACTCCATTGATCAATTTTTTTTTAAAAGTTTTATGAATGAAAAAAAAAATGAGAAGAGATAACATGTAGATGTCAGAACCTCAATTAAAAGAAAAACTTAAATTCATTACGCAAGTCTTTTATTTTTGTCCCAGAAAAACAATTTTGAATAAAATGATATGAACTTTAAAACGAAGAGAAAACAATTTTAAAAGTGATAACTGGCGAGGTTCATTTGTCAACCCCTCGTAGAAAATTGTGTTTTCACCCCTTTTTGACGGCGTGGAGGCAGAAAGCTCTCGTATAATTGTGGTCGGCGAAGATACGATCAGGTTTTGTCGCGCGGACGTCGCTTTGTGTAGCGACTGAAACTAGTCTGCAACTGATCAGCGACAACGATAGACTATCCTCGCACTAACTGTGAATTATTTGAGGGATCTAGATAGTGCTACTTCGGTGAAAGGACCATATCTGGACCTCCCTGACGTTAATGAAGGGACATTATAGCATGTCATGTCGCCGCGCGATGCCATTATGACCGTGTCTGCGTCTTGCGAATCCAACATTTCCGCATCGCGAATTCGAACCGATCGTCTGGACTCAATACCAATAATAACGAAAACAGTGAAAATGCATATTGGCTCTAATCTCTAATCTATTTATATTAGTGGGAAAACATACATTAATTCACAAGTAAGGCAGTAGCGGATCCAGGATTTAATTTTTTTTTGGGGGGGAGCTCAGCCCGAAATTATTTTTTTCATATACATACAACAATAATTATTTTTTTAAAAAAGAAGGAAATTAACTACCAATATTAAATGGTGTTTGAGTGGTTCTTGAAGTCCTATTAAATGTAATCATAGGAACAAGAATACTTTAAGAAATAGTTTTTTATTTTATTTTTTTTTTCTGTTTCCGATTTGGCCGAATCCAGATACCTATGCTTCCATAATAAACTTCATAACCATCCGAATCCTCTTGTTTCTAACCTTGCTTCCTCTTCGATTCCTGATAACACTCCGAGGCGTCTGAAAAGAAGATGGCCTCGTGATCTCCTCATGTGGACAAATTATTAGAGTGCTACCAATGGGTAGTTTCTCAACATGCGTATTTTATGTTATTATATTCCTCTGTACACATTTACTTGTTGTATTCATACTAATACAGTTGTAAATATCATAATAAAAGGTATACAAAAAAAAAAAAAAAAAATTCTGTAACATGGTTATATTTTACCATTTTGGGGGGAGGGGAGGGGTGAGAGGAGGGGCTTCAGCCCAAAAGTCCCTCCCGTAGATACGCCTGTGAAATAAGGTAAATCTATCACCAATAGACAAGCCAACTCATTAATAGATAATAAGCTTTTTACACCCTGTTTCATGGAGGTTTCCTTATCTGACATTTATTCACCGCCCTCTCCTTTGACCCAGGGAAAACCTCAAATATCCGATAAAGCGAGAAAGGAGACAAAAGAAAAAAAAAACTATAAAACCTCTTAATAAAGCTAAATTGTACTGGCATCTTCAAAGATTATTCCAAACTATGCATCGAACTTTTAAAATACGTAATAATTATGGATGATAAAATTCCATTTCACCCTCCAATAAAAAAAAAAATACAAGGAGGTTCAAAGTATGCCGATTGGAAACATGGCATTATCTCTTAGGAAATTGAAAAAAACAGATTTCTCCGCCTGTGTAAATGATCAGTTTGAAACCGATAGTTGACGGTTCTGTTATTTCTTAAGGAAACAGTGAAAGGAATTACGGATAGTAATAATATACAAGAATTATGTCAGAATTGCAAAGATATGACTGTTTCATAGCTTACTGTAATCGTAAATATAGATTATATTGCTTTTTGTAAGAACAGTAAGATAGTTAGAGTATGGTGCGTTTTCGGTGTGAGTGCGACATTTTCGAAACAAGCTATCTTTTACGGAGTAGGAACTATGAAAACTGATGTTTCGAAAATCAGACTCTAGAGTTCACTGAAATTCTAGCATTACGAGCTGCGAAGAAATCAATTTCAATGTTTTGATATTTTTTTTCTGCACAGTTTTATCAGTGCCTAACTACAATTTAAGTAATGTGGTGCGGGCAACACTAAGAAGCTTTTTGTTTCTAAATAATTTGTTAACCATATTTATCGTTAACAGCTGTAATTATTAAGTGAAATTAAAATAAGATATTATAGTTAAAAATCCATCCATCGGATCTACTTTTCGAGCAGGACCAAAAAACCATAATGGAAAAACATTTTTTTTTTTCATAGGTCCATATTTGTTTTAGTGGAAGCTAAACATTTAAACATTCACAATATATTATTTATTAAAATTATAATATATTTACTAATTGAGGTGATTGCATTGCGGCGAATCAAACTGGCTTGAAAAATTATTGGGCTAAATAACGAAAGAATTCTTTAAAAAATTATAATTGCTGTAGCGATGGTGGTACCGAAGCGAAGGTGGGAATATTACGTTAAAATCGATTTGAAGGGATTGAGTTTGTACGGCGAACGGTGGAGAGATGTGTGTAATAAGCGATTGGTGTTGTCCCCTTACATTATTATTATTACCAATCTACTAAATTGAAGCAAGCGATAAGAAAAAGTATGAGAAATTCATCCTTAAAAACATTAATGTTCCTGTATTTTATGTTTTTTCCTTTTCTTTCTGTGTTATTGCCGCTTTAAAGAAAAAGTAAATAAAAAAACAAAACCCCTACTAAACTTAAATCCTGGCTTCACTAGTGGTATAGTCAATGAACTGATTTCCTTCAAGTACCTTTATCTATGAAAATTTATTGCTCATCGCAATATCAAATTAAATGAACTTTTTTTTTCTCTTTTATCCACTACCTCGCCATTTTTTGGCACATGGAGTTAGGGATTGTTCAATAGATATGATCAAACCTGTTCCAATTAGAATGGGAAGGACGAGATTCATCCAGTGGACAGCCACTAAATGAATTGCAACTCGTCCAGGCGGGATTCGAGAATAATAAATAGAACGTTTTACTGACCACACATTACTATACAAAGAACCGAATACGGTCGTGAACTATGAACGAATCCTCCAACTGTTTCCTAACGATGTCTGTTATCCTCCAGATATCATCACAACGACATGCTGACTTCACTTTGAGATGGCTTCGATTATGAAGTAGCCTTTTGAAATGTTAGCTGTTAACATTCTGCGACCCATATTACCATTGTTTGGCTCATCCCTCACCTTGCTCTTTACGCACATCCAAGGGTACGTCGAGTGCGTGAAGCCCCAGGGGTCTCTTGCGAGACGAAACATTGACCCTTGCGTAACGCTGATTTGATTCCGATCGCCTATGCGTTCTGATAATATACGTAACTTCGCCTACGAGATTCGTCACGATAAGTTACCGCATATCCTAGGTTCAAGGTTCATAAAATGTAGACGTTTTGTAAAGATCAGAACAGTGATCCTAACTGTTAGAGATCGGAACAGCAAGCGCGTCAGAAATAGAAAAGCAAATTCCAGCTTAAAGTTGTAGCGACTCCAGAAGCTATCGCTGGAGTTAGATATTCGCGGCACGCCAGGCCACCCCGCGAACGAAGATAACAGATCTTGCTGGGAGCTCCCGTCCAACTAGTACCTCGGCTTTGATTCTATCTCATCCTAGTTATTTTATTTTATTTTTACCTACTCCCTATTATACAAAATAAAAATTCAAAAGGAAAAGCGAAAAATAATTTCTTTTAAAAATATGAAACCCCTTTAAAGAAGTCAGCATACCGCTGAAAATATCATTGATTTAGCTGAACTTAAACCGATTTCATTTAAAGTGATATAAACAATTTAAATAAGCATAGTCGAATACGATAGGTTCATTATTGAAAATAATGGCCGAATTCGATACTTTTGTTTAAAAGTAAAAAATATTTCAAATAGTTATTTATTCCAAATATTTATTTTAAATGCATAATTCACCATCTGGTATAGTGTTCAATTAAATATTTAAATTATTTTTTTCTCTTTAATTATGAATCCGCACCTGTCATGGTATTGACAATCAGTAGTGTTGTGATAAAATGAGGATTGGCATTATAGGCATGAGGAAGGATAGTAAACAACAGCACCTCTTTCTTTCAGGTTATTATGTATTTCCTTGATTTAGGTGAGAAGATCTCTCATCCAGTTCTTTTTTAGTCTCCTTTTGATGGAGATGCCAATAAAAAAAAACACTCATAGCTCATGAGATTTGTTCAATACGGATTAAATTATATTTGTGATCTCTAGATGTGTTTAAAATATGAGAAAAATGTAATTGTAATTCAAATTATTTAGTAAATTCTAAATATATAGTCCGTGGTACAAACCCCTTTTTATCGAATTATTAACATCCGACTTAAACTTCGTAAATCTTGTCGTAACCTACAACTATTTTATTTACGAAAACTGTTGGAATGTTTGGTTTTTTTCAATCTGGAGGGGATCGAACTTTGTCTATTTAATTAAGTACTAAAAACTCCTAAATACTTATTTGCTTTCTACTTAGATCGTAATAACAATTATCGTAATGATAATTTGAACACAAAATCGAGAAAAAAGTAGCCTACAATAATATTGCGCGGTTTGTCCTACATAACCTCGTTATTTTGAAATTTGAGGGGTGCAGGTTGCGGCTCATATTTATGAAGGCCACGTTTTTTCTCTATTCTGTGTTTCAATTATCTTACGATCTAAGTAGAAATCAAATGAGTATTTACGAGCTTTTAGTATCTAATTTAATAGACGAAGTTTGCCCCCTGCAGATTGAAAACGCCCCAATTCCAAGAGTTTTCGTAAATAAAATAGTTGTAGGTTACGACGGGATGAAACTATTTCAGGCGGATGTTAATAATTCGATAAAAAAAAGGGTTTGTACCACGGACTAATATAATCAATCATAAAATTTATACTTTCAGTTAAATGCAAATAAAAATTAATTTTCTACATACCATTTTTTCCTTAAAAGTCCAGATATTTAAAGGACTTAAAGGAGAAGAGTTTGGCTGAGTTTCATCAAAATCATTGAAACCGTTTATAAGGCACAATTAAAAAATAAATAAACTATATTTGATTTGGACTTACTTGGTTAAGGTAGCGAAGTTCAGAAATACCTGAAAAAAATAATATATATTAAACTTTCATAAATAAATTCTGTACGATTCAGTACAGAAGAGATTGAAAAAAATGTAATAAATTATTAGATTTGTTAGTTTTTATTAAGAATAAAATAAATAATAAAAAATCTAATAATAATACTGATTGATAATTTAAGTATGGTTTGAGGAAGCGTAAAAAAGACCAGAAGTCCCTTCATTAGCGTGATTATGTAAGCCATCAAAGGAATAAAAAGTGACCACACACTTAAACTCTTCCGATTGCTTTGGATT